GGTTTTTATTTTGGTTTTTATTTTTTGTTTATTTTTTAATATTATGTAGAATTTTGTGCTGAGAGCGTGAATATTATGACTCAGTTAGCTTAGAAGGCGTCGTCCTCCTTGTTATCAGTCTGTCGTCTCATTCACAAGGTGGCACGGGTCTGGTGGGGTCGATAATGTAAATGTTAATAACACCGACATAACGAAGAGGACTGATAAAGCAAGTTGTGCTGTTTTTACGGAAGAATGTAGACAGCGAAAATAATGCTTACGTAAAGAATAATACTGACTTAATAAGGCACAATACTTTACACCCGTCCATCCTTCCATTTATCCATCTACCTATCCACCTATCTATCTATCCATCTATCTATCCATCCATCTATCTGTCTCCCCCGCAGGCAGCGGTCAGGTCCAGCTGTGGCAGTTTCTCCTAGAGCTACTCACCGACAGCAACAACGACACGTGCATCCGCTGGGTGGGCGCTAACGGCGAGTTCCGTATGGTGGACCCAGAGGAGGTGGCCCGCAGGTGGGGTCAGAGGAAGAACAAGGTACGGTACTGACTGACAGATGAATAGCTATTAGATGACTATTTAATTCATAAACAAAAATCATGCACTGCAGTCGAAAGGAACTCAAATCAAATTATGTAAGACCAAAGCCAGACCAAACTGGAGCCAAACTTAATGTTTACTTTATCCACAAATTCTGTTTTGCGTTTTCCATACTTCACTTCTTGACATTCTTTTGTCGATTTGCTTCCCTTTTTTTTCGAATGAAAAATAAAAACCCTTACATATTCAGGTCGTTTCGTGTCGTGTGAGATTGGAGAGCACATGAGATGGGTTTCACTCCTTTACCCTACCTCTATTTTTCTGTGTATCTGTCTTACGTTTTAAACGCACGTAATGGCCTTTGTTAAGCCGATATGCCTATTTTAAAACGATATTTATTTTTCAATATCATCTCTCTCTCTCTCTCTCTCTCTCTCTCTCTCTCTCTCTCTCTCTCTCTCTCTCTCTCTCTCTCTCTCTCTTCAAAATATCAAAGTTTAACTTACACTTAATGACCGTTACTGAGTTAATTTGCTTTCATTTTACAGATCAAAAAGTCTTATTCCGATCGTTTCTTTCTCTCTCCCCACAGCCCAACATGAACTACGACAAAGTGAGCCGTGCCATGCGGTACTATTACGACAAAATGATCCTCTCGAAGGTGCACGGCAAACGATACACCTACCGCTTCAACTTCAAGGTCATCATGCGCGCGCAGCGACATGCACAGACACCCAGTGACCCAGCCGATTTCTCTAACTTCCTGAACGTTCTAAATCAAGCCACTTCCTCTTCGGCTCCCGATCTCAGCCGGAGTTTCCCGACAGGAGTGTCGTCCGATGTCGCTTCAACCGCCTCTTCAGGCTTTTCCTCCACTATGGAGAATGTTAACAAACAATCTCAAGAGATCAATACTCCTGGTGGTCAGTCGTTCTTGCTAGACACTACCACACGTCATCAGACGTCTATGTCCAGCGAGTCCAGTTTCTTTGACAAGAGCCAGGCCCCTATGCGGTTTTCCTGCCCTAACATGCTGGAGAGCGTGGCAGCTGACAAGGAGAGGTCTTCCAACTGGAACAATACAGATTTCTCTTTCAACTCAGCCAATCAGGGCTTTGATAACAAGCTGACTCGGTGGAACAGTCATTCCGTGGCCAGCTTTTGGGCAGATTTGGGCGGGGCTGGAGAAGCAAGAGTGACGTCATCTCCTAACTTGGTGGAACAAAAGCCACACCTTGCGACGATGTCGAACTTGAGCGTTTCAACAGGTGAGAAGAGGAAACAAATACATGATTTGTAGTAAATTTAGGACTTTTTTTATGACTGTAATAACTTGCTAATAGCACCTTAATGCAATTTCTCTAACGAACTGATTGAAATACTCGGTCACTGACATTTTAAGGCAATTTTTACGTTCTCATAGTATGCAGGAAAGGATTCCTTTGTAAATGTTGCTGAACTTCCGGAAAATGATGCCCGCTCTCTTGAAAAAGGATTTATGTAAACAGACAGAACTAGAGATATGAAGACATAAAATATGTCGACAGGCAGAAATGCAGAAATTTTAGCAGAAGAAAACTACTCACCTTAATTAATGAAGGAATAAGTGCCCCCCCCCCCCCCCCCGAGGAAAAAAGAGAAATAGGCCGAGAGACAGTCAGCTAGACGGACAGAAATACAAACGGACAGGTAGACAGACAAAGAATACAAACAGACGTTAACTGCCTTCCACTGTCACTCAATAAATTATACTTTCAACCCTACCCTCTTTCTATTCTTCCCCCAGGCTCCCCCAACAGTTCCTTCCACGACCCCCTATCTCCCCGACCCCCCGGCCCTCACAGACCCTCGACCCTGTCTCCCACCGGAAGCTACGCGAGACTCATGACGTCAGCAGACACACGCCGCCGCCATTTTGTCTCGGACAAGTGGTTCAGCCTGCCTTCCGAAAGCTCCGACAACCATCTCTCCCCCTCCTCCTCCTCCTCCTCCGCCGCCCATTTCCCCGCCAGTCGCTGCCACAGTCCGTACAGCAGGCAGGGTTCGAACCGCGACCAACACCACCACCTCTTCCGTAGAGGGAGATTTATGAGTCTGGAAAAACGACACAGTCTTCCTACAGAACTGAACCTGGCCAAAGATCTTCAAGAACTTTCTAAAGCCCACAGTCCGCCCTCGTGGTTTCCTGACTCGTCAACTGGACCCTCGAGCCCGCACGGTGCCGCAAGTTTCGGTGACGTAGAACCCACGTTTGGTAACCTCAACATTAACTCTGTGGGTTCAGCTGGGCCCCAACAGACACGTCATCAGTGTGTAGATTTTTGTTGTCCAGGGGAAGGACAGCAAGGTTGTTCCTCCTTCTCTCTCTCTGGACTAGACTCTACTGAGGATCTCCAGTGCGAGAACTCCAAGCCTTTTGAACAAACCATGTCTTTCAATCGGGGCAGCTGTGACTTCACATTCGGCCCAGAACGGTCTCAAACTCAGATCAATAACTTTGTGACTCTGGAGCAGCAGCGCCTCCAGCAGCAACAACATCAACGGCAGCAACAACTTCAGCAGCAACAACAAAAATATCAAAAACAGCAACATTTGCAGCAGCAGCTTCAGCAACAAAAGCAGCAACAGCAACAACAGCAACAGCAACAACACCATCAACAGCAGCAACATCAGCAGCATTTACCATCACTGGAAGGGAGCGCAGGAGCGGAGCCGCCTCTCCACCCCCACCAGCAGCGATCACCACTGCAGCGACAAGTAGAACTAACTCAGCGACAAGCGCTACAGCAACAGCAGCAGCAGCAACAACAACAGCAGCAACAGCAACAGCAACAGCAACAGCCACAGCTACACCAGCCCTCCTCTTGTTACCTACAACAGCAGCTGCAGCAGCAACAGCAGTCTATCCAACAGCAGCTGTTGGCAAGGCGATGCTCAGACGAAAGGGCAAATCCGTCTTTCTTAGACCAGCAACAGCAGCTCCTAGTGCAAACACAGCAGCAGCAGCAGCAGCAGCAGCAGCAACAACAACATCAACAACACCAGCACGACATATCCCAAGCCTACCCCCACCACCATCATCATCATCAGCTACAACAACAACTACACACTCAACAACAGCAACAACAACAACAACAACAACAACAATACACAATGATGGACAAATCTTCTGTCAGCGGTGACTTCTCCGCACATGCGCAGAAACAACCCACCCCGACCTTTCCGTCCGACCTTGACCCTCGCCCTGTTGACCCCCGAGACCTTGACTCTCTGGCAGGAAACCTGAGCATGTCGGGGTTCTTTTAGTGCCGAATGTTGTCATCACTGTTGCCATGGGGACTGCTGTGGTTTATTTGTTTTTCCTGTTGCCATTGTTGGTGTTGCCGAATTTACCTTTGTTACTGTTACCGTTACTATTGTTATTATTGTCGTAATGAATGTTACCATTGTTACTACAGTTATTACTGTTAATAATTATTACTATTGACATAGTACTTATATATCGTGGCTGTTACTTTTATTACTGTTACTGTTGTAACTTTTACAGTTGTCATGGTCATTGTGTTCTTAGTTTCACAGTGATCATAGTTACCGTTACCATAGTAACCGTTGTCATGGTAACAGTTACTCCTGTTTTCACATCAAAGCTCTATGCAGCAACCCAAATTCCAAGCGTGCCATTATTCTGATTATTATCATCGTCATCGCTCAACAAATGTTATTGTTTTTTGTTTATACTAATATTATGATGTCATTCCCAGGCCAATGTACATTATTTATATGTTTTGGGACTTGGGGGGAAAGGGGGG